AAGTGTTAATAGGACGGAATATAGACTTTGATATCCTCAATTTTATGTTCCTTTTCTTCCTGCTCATAGTAAATTAAAAATAAAATATAACATTTCTCACAAATTTCAATGATAAGAGAGCATTTCTAACGAAATAAGGATGTTTGCGTATTTACATTTCACGACCGACGGATGGAATGGATGAGAGAAGCTAAGATGAAATATTTTTAATTTCTTCCGTCCTTTATAATTTATTCTTTTTTTGTCACATCTCCTTCATCACAACTTCATATTCTCTTATCATTGAATTGTATCGCATAGCAGTTGCTCTTCCTTTCTTCTATCTCACGCTTTCATATAGCTTGCTAGCGATATGACAACACATTTGTTATCAAAAAACACAAGAATAAAAATACTGGAATAAGAATGAGGGTGGCAATAAAAAATTTATGTTGTTTCCCCGCATAGATCTTATTCCTTCTTTTCACTGCTAATATCTCTTGCGAGAAAAAGACTGATGTCGTTCACTTTATCATTTCATTCATTCTTCTCTCTTGTGTGTATATGCTTTCATGAATATGTGAACTTTTAAATATATTTTTGCAATTGTATGTATTTTCTACTCATTCACGGGTAGTTGCTAAGAGAAATCTGAAAAGTTACAAAATTAAACTTTTTAAATGTCAACTTACATAATGGCGTAATTATATTTATTTTTTTCACTCACGTTGACTCCAGAAAAATATGATATATGATGAAAAAAGATGAAGATATTCATAAACGCATAGAATGTCATAGAACCTGAAAAAAATCTTCAAAAGCGCTCAATATTGTTGTTATGAAAAAACGAGGAGTTATTTTGTTGTTAAAGTCACAAATCCCTAGAGAAGATCTTTTGAATGCGCCTTGATAAAAATTTAAATCTCTGAATTTGACATTTGACTTATCTATTACATTAGCTTTATTTCTTATGAAAATTTAAGCATACATTTGTGACTACCGGCAAAATCCTTTCACATTCAATTTCACATGAATGAATGAAATGATAGTATGCATGCATATAGTAAAAAATACAAGAATTTATAAGATGAATGTATATTTATATCGACACATGCCAGATGAAAGTATCCGCAAAGTAAACACATGAGACATTGACACGGGTTGAAAGTTGAATTGTTATTCATGCATATAGAATAACTGAGTCCATTCTAAGCAACTGAATATCACTCTAGAGTCAACAGAAGCCACTTTATGAAATATGCAAATGATGCACTTGAGATATGCTACATGAATAGAATTCATTTGCCTCTTAACAGGCAATTAAGAATGTTTAACAACTCAATTTAACACATGTATGTGAGACTCAATTGAAGAATAAAGGTATGAAAAGAACAAGTATACAGGAAAGAGTCTTTTTAAATTCCCACAAATATTTACTTTAATCATTAAATCTTTCTTCGCTTTCATCACCACGTATCATGACGTTGTCAAAATTATAATTATGCTAGATAAAATAGGCAAATAATTAGTTGATCAATCAATCATTATTGGGGCTAGAGATCGGCTTTTTAGCTTAACCCCTCTTTGTGTTCACTGACACATAAAAAAATTAAAAATATATGAAGAAATATTAAGCTCAAAACTATAAAGTCATTCCTCAAATGATGTCAGCAAAAATTCAATTTTAATTTTTTTTTCAGATGTCATATATCATGAATATTTGTATCAATATTATGAATGGTCATTTTCTTCTTATTTCTTTTCTCTCTGTGAGTTCAAAAACTCTTTCAATGACTCTACAGAAATCCTGGTATTTATTATTCACCTTTTCTTTGGGAACAAAATAATTCATTTCGACTAAGGCAAGATTTTGGATTTTATATGAATGCCTAATAGTTTATTTTTTTTATTCATAAGCAACTTAAAAATGAAATGCAAAATATAAAAATTCTTAAAAAATTATTAAAGGATATCTGTAGTTCAAAAATCAGATTGAGTTATCATATAAGATTTCTATGAATGCTACATATTTAGTATAAAACAATTGAAGCATGGTATGACTCTGCAATCTCAGAAGCTTCCTTCAAAAATTTTTGTCAATCGGAAACAAAAAAAAATAGCAATCCCTCGAAATGTTTCTGGATACGTGAAGACAGTGATAAATCCTAAAATCTTTTTATTTAATAGATCCAATTAATTGAAAATGATTAGAAATTAATTAATTAATTATTTAATGTTGCAAAAAGTCAAGTTCCTAATAACAAAAGCTAATAATTGGTTGAAAAATTAGTCGAAAATTAATTAAAATCATACATGCTTCCAGTCACAATAATTGCGCACGAAGCAAGAACATACAAGATTTCAAATAAATTCATTTCTTTTGTTCTTTCAGGCATTTCGAGAGAGTCGGGGTTTTTTTTGCTATCGTAATCGATATCTATTTTGATACAGTTTGTGTGTGTGAGCTAATTGAAACGTTCAATCCAGATATATCAGTGATGTTAATGAAATGAATAAATATAAGGGTATACATTCCTTCATATAAAGTATTTATTTTGTGTCCTTGAGGTTGATTCGATTGAAAGATTAATGATATCAAATTATTCGAGTTAAAGGGCATTAAATTCTTAAATTATAGTAGCATCAAGTTTTTTCAAGTTGTGAAACTTAATTTCGTCCCTACGTTCATTTATTTTATGACACAACAATGATAGAAATGATCATTGAACTAATTCAGTTTTCGAAACTCATTTAAAGTTAGTCCTTTCTGTAGAAAATCTAATTACAAAGACACAAGACCAATTTGTTCACTTCATTTCCCCACAATTTCTTCATGCTTTCTTGTCATCACTTACCACAAAAAAAAATAATCAAATGAAATATGAATTTGAGTGCCTAATTTACATTATAAGATGGCATGACGACCTCATCACGTTATTCTAAATCTTATTAATTTAGCAACAAAATGTATAAAAGACATGGCTCATTCAGAAAATTTATTAGTCATTCTAAATGACAACCAGAAATTTTGACACTTTTGTCGTCTGCGTCGTTATGTCTATTTGAATAAAATATAGGTTTCTTAATACATGAAATCTTCATCCAATAAATATATGCCAAGCGTTATGAATGCTTTTTTATTGTTCCTGAATTTTCTTTCTATTTTCTCTTTAATACGCGAGGGATCTCTCATTTGTGAACTTTTGCCGAAAACCATCTGTTGATAGTTATTTATTGATTCTACTAAGTATGTGAGCTCGTAATAGCGACCACAAAGTTACGAAAAGAAAATAATTTGTGAACTTTGAAGCGTTTTAATCAAAGTTTTCAAAAGAAAGCGAACAAATATGCCACAAGTCTTAAAAACTCGGGTTTTTTTTGCCTGCCTATTGCTTTTTGAGTCTCATATTATGTTCGGTTATTTTGGCAAGAAATAGTGGCGTACTTTGAAGAGAATGGTACAAAATAGCAGTCTAGTAATTTGAACTGATTCTTAAAAAACTTAAGTTTGCGCTATAAAACACTTAAAAGACACACCTGTTGACCATCACTATTTTATAGTATAAACAATTTGGTCAAAACTAAGTTTTAATACTATTCTGATTTTTTTCTATGTTATACGAGGCCACGAAAGAATTACAATAGTTTTATAGTACGTAGTACGTTACGATATGCATAGAAACTATTTTTATAGCAAAAAATGTTTTTCAACTTTTAAATTCATATGTTACAAGAGCAAAAACTTAAGCAATTTGCAAAGTGAATTGTGTCACAATCTGTCACCGTGTAAATATGAAAAAAAGTCCTAAAAATGTTTCTCTTCTGTTTAACTTTTCAAACATAAATCATAGAAAACTCACAAAATGAAACGATATCATATGACTATGTACTCTCTTCATATGTATTATGTACATTCAACATGTGTCAAGAAATACATAGCCGTTTAAAACACATTATAGAGCAATGCAATGAATGCAAATGAAAATGAGCCGTCGGTCTAGTCAGATGCATGACAGAATGCAAACAAAAAAAGCTTCATATCTGGCATGTGGCATCAATCTCATCTCATATATTTTTATTACGATTTTTAATAAACATTCATGCATACATGCATGCTATAATTTTTATTACTATAAGATTAAGGAATGAAAAAAAATTGCATTATGATTCTTAATGACTCGACATATGTTATTAATTTCTTGCTTTGCTTCATTTTATAATGCGATGCATGCTCATGACATCATGCTCAAGAAAAGTACATTAGATGCTCGTGAGGAATTCCATTTACGCTAAGTTGATCAACTTTTGTTTATAAAATATCAACTGATAATTCTTATCGACAGATGAAATTTTCTACCTTAAATACTTGAAGTCAAATAAAAACGAATGTCTCAAAGAACGTAATGTTGGGTTTTAATTTAAGTACTAGTGACTGACTTCAATTTATTAAAGAAGACAAGAATGTTTGGAAAATTCTATTCATCCGCTTTTCCTCGTTATTGTGGCATTTACATAAATCTAATTCATCATTAAGATATTTCCAATCTAAGCCATGAAAAATGTAAAAATAAATTGAAGCTATGTTGATAAAATTTACTTCAAACATGATGGGAACAAAATAAATAGCAACAAAAATTATAAGTACGGAGAATATTTTTATGATTCTTTTCCGCTTTGACATAAAATTAACCTTCAATCAATGCGAGACATGTAAATTACCCTCGATGAATATTCAATTAATTTTCATGGAGGGGTGGGAAGGAAGATAACATTAATACAGAAAAGCCTGAACTCGTTATACAGCGTAGCAGGGAATTTGAAAAATTTTAATTCAGTTACGAGAAAATAATTTTCATTGCTTCTAAAAATGGGCAAAAAAACCCGACCGAAACCTAAGCAAAAATTAATTAAATATTTCTGAGTGAATGAGATGAATAAATCAAGATGAAAATTGATTTAATCTTTTAATAAAAATCTAAATTGAATTATGGTTTTTCGCTTCTTATTTTTCTCCACTCTAGATTGCCGACTGAGAAGAAAAAGGAGCACATAAAGAGACCGATGAATGCATTCATGGTCTGGGCACAAGCAGCACGACGTGTAATGTCTAAACAGTATCCGAATCTTCAAAATTCTGAACTCAGCAAATCGTTAGGCAAATTGTGGAAGTAAGTATTTTTCAAAAATTTAAATTCAATTTTACTTTCCTTTTATTTACAATAAAATGAATGTGTGCTTATCAATGAGTGTAATGGAATTTTATATTCAAATGCATGCCTGTGTACTGATGCGTAAATATCCGATCTCATTTTATCGGAGAAATGTTACAGGCATTGATTTTAATACTTAATGCTTTACAGACTGATGAATGCGAATTTTAATTTAAATTTTTGCTCCGAATTTCTCTTTTAAATATTTTTTTTTTTTTTTTGATAAGCTAATGAATATGGAATTTGCATAAAAATTAAGTTTTTAAAGAATCTTAAATTATCGCAAAATGGTTCACATAAATTTATTTTGTAGAATAGACCAATTTGCATCAAAAGAACTTTATAAGTCTGCAATTCAAAACCACAAAGCATTGTTCATGATAATAAAGTTTCTGGGCGCTGCGACTTCATGCACCCTTTTTCATCATTCCATTCAGAATATGTGGTTGAGAAGTCAAAATGCGGAAGAATCCTATGTAAAATTAGTTTTTCGAAAGAAAATTTGGTAAAACAACTAAAAGTTTCATGGTTATGCTGGTTTTCAGAGCATTTCTTTCATCATGCATGATATATAGTAATGTAAAAAAACATGTTGAACACAATTACTGATTACATCTTTTAGAACATTGATGAGTTTTAAGTTTGCTGCATTAATTGAGATGTTCCAGGACAGAATGCACAATGTCATAGATATTTTAAAATAACCTCAATGTCATCTATGCACGTTCATTTCCCTTCCATTGATTCATGAGCTTATGAATATTAAATTTTGATTCTCATCGGATTACGATGTTCACAAAACAAATAGAGATTTGGGGAGGGAAGAATAAAAGCAGAGGCCGCAATTACTCATCAGAAAAAGAGATAGAAATTAAATATTAACATTTAAAAGTACGCCTTCGTGATCATTAATTATTTCCTAACATCAACAAACTTTTGTGATTTAGTCATTAAAAGAAAAAAGGAACCGCTCCTCTACATCGTGTCAAATTTCTTTCATTTGCTTTTTATTATTTACGAAAAAAAATCTTCATTGAATTTTATTTCATTTCCTTATCACAATGTTGATCAAAAAATTATGAAAAAAATAACTTTTTCAATCTCATTCCTCGAGATATTTTCATCATATTGTTTTATGCGCATGAGGAACTTTCCAAATTAAATAAGCATGAAATATTAATTGCAGCATTTCTCTTTTTAAAAAACTAATTTTGAATCTCACAAATTTCATTTCTTTTTTTTTATATCAAATCTCTTTTACTTTCATGAAGCTCTCTCATAAGAGTTTTTCATTTTCTTCTTCTGATTTTGCGGCTTATTTTCTTAGATCTCATATTCTTTATAAACGTTTTTACATTCTTTTCCCAAATCATGTAAAGTAATTTCGCTTCTCATGTTTGTAAAGCACTGCATAATCATCACAAATTTTTCCCATTATTACAATTTTGTACCATTACAATCACAAAAACTTTTCTTAAAAAAGGATCATTTGTCATAACTTTAACACCAACAACCAATTTTTTTAGGATCGTATGAAAAAAAACATCGATTTGGTTCGAAGCTTTAACATTTAAAATTAGTCATGAAAAAAATCTTAAATTTTCATAGATATCATGTAATAGCAACATGATATCTTAGATCTGAGTAGATCAAAAATCCAGTTTTTTGGAGCATTAACATTTTATTTTAACTTGATTTGGAGTGTAAATGATTTTGTAAAGTTTTTAAAAAATATCATTAGGGGCCGTTCACTTATTACGTTATGCAGAAAAACGACTTTTTTCACCCCCCCCTCCTTGTAACAATATGTAACAACTCAAAACCCCCCTTCCCCCCCCCCCCACCCCTGAAAGTTCATAGTTTATTTTATCATTAAAAAGGTGGAAAATTTAAAAAAATGTTTGTGGTGTGAATTTGTGAACAAATTTTTTTCGTGAACTTTTTTTTAAAAGACAGACGACAGTTAGATCGTTACATACTTCTTGACCCCCCCCCCCCCCTATGTTACATTTTGTTACAATTTTTCAAACCTCCCCCCTCCTCCCCTTAAAATGCGAACGTAATAAGTGAACGGCCCCCCACTATGATCGAAATCAAAAATGCTTCAAATTACATTTTTAAAACATATTTAGGTATTATAAATGATAAAGAATGCTAATATAGAAATAAAATCGATAATTTTTTGAAAATAGCTTTTTATGATCGAAACCAAAAATGCTTTGAATTGCATTTTAAAACATATCTAGGTATTATAAATGATTAAGATTGCTAATATTTATAAAATCGATATTTTTTGAAAATAGCCTACTATGATCAAAACCAAAATACTTTAAATTGCATTTTAAAACATATCTAGGTATTATAAATGATAAAGAATGCTAATGTAGATATAAAATTGATATTTTTTGAAAATAGCCTCCTATGGTCAAAACCAAAAATGCTTTAAATTGCATTTTAAAACATATCTAGGTATTATAAATGATAAAGAATGCTAATATAGAAATAAAATCGATATGTTTTTGAAAATAGCCTACTATGATCAAAACCAAAATACTTTAAATTGCATTTTAAAACATATCTAGGTATTATAAATGATAAAGAATGCTAATGTAGATATAAAATTGATATTTTTTGAAAATAGCCTCCTATGGTCAAAACCAAAAATGCTTTAAATTGCATTTTGAAACATGTCTAGGTATTATAAATGATAAAGAATGCTAATATAGAAATAAAATCGATATGTTTTTGAAAATAGCCTACTATGATCGAAACAAAAAATGCTTTAAATTGCATTTTAAAACATATCTAGGTATTATAAATGATAAAGAATGCTAATATAGAAATAAAATCGATATGTTTTTGAAAATAGCCTACTATGATCGAAACAAAAAATGCTTTAAATTGCATTTTAAAACATATCTAGGTATTATAAATGATAAAGAATGCTAATATAGAAATAAAATCGATATGTTTTTGAAAATAGCCTACTATGATCGAAACAAAAAATGCTTTAAATTGCATTTTAAAACATATCTAGGTATTATAAATGATAAAGATTGCTAATATTTTTAAAATCGATATTTTTTGAAAATAGCCTACTATGATCAAAACAAAATACTTTAAATTGCATTTTGAAACATATCTAGGTATTATAAATGATAAAGATTGCTAATATTTTTAAAATCGATATTTTTTGAAAATAGCCTACTATGATCAAAACCAAAAAACTTTAAATTGCATTTTAAAACATATCTAGGTATTATAAATGATAAAGATTGCTAATATTTTTAAAATCGATATTTTTTGAAAATAGCCTACTATGATCAAAACCAAAAAACTTTAAATTGCATTTTAAAACATATCTAGGTATTATAAATGATAAAGAATGCTAATATAGGAATAAAATCGATATGTTTTTGAAAATAGCCTACTATGATCAAAACAAAATACTTTAAATTGCATTTTAAAACATATCTAGGTATTATAAATGATAAAGAATGCTAATACTTATAAAATTGATATTTTTTGAAAATAGCCTCCTATGGTCAAAACCAAAAATGCTTTGAATTGCATTTTAAAACATATTTAGGTATTATAAATGATAAAAAATGCTAATATAGAAATAAACTCGATATTTTTTTGAAAAAAGCCTACTATGATCGATACCAAAAATGCTTTAAATTGCATTTTGAAACATGTCTAGGTATTATAAATGATAAAGAATGCTAATACTTATAAAATTGATATTTTTTGAAAATAGCCTCCTATGGTCAAAACCAAAAATGCTTTGAATTGCATTTTAAAACATATTTAGGTATTATAAATGATAAAAAATGCTAATATAGAAATAAACTCGATATTTTTTTGAAAAAAGCCTACTATGATCGATACCAAAAATGCTTTAAATTGCATTTTAAAACATATCTAGGTATTATAAATGATAAAGATTGCTAATATAGATATAAAATCGATATTTTTTTGAAAATAGCCTACTATGATCAAAACCAAAAAATTTTAAATTGCATTTTAAAACATATCTAGGTATTATAAATGATAAAGAATGCTAATACTTATAAAATTGATATTTTTTGAAAATAGCCTCCTATGGTCAAAACCAAAAATGCTTTGAATTGCATTTTAAAACATATTTAGGTATTATAAATGATAAAAAATGCTAATATAGAAATAAACTCGATATTTTTTTGAAAAAAGCCTACTATGATCGATACCAAAAATGCTTTAAATTGCATTTTAAAACATATCTAGGTATTATAAATGATAAAGATTGCTAATATAGATATAAAATCGATATTTTTTTGAAAATAGCCTACTATGATCAAAACCAAAAAATTTTAAATTGCATTTTAAAACATATCTAGGTATTATAAATGATAAAGAATGCTAATACTTATAAAATTGATATTTTTTGAAAATAGCCTCCTATGGTCAAAACCAAAAATGCTTTGAATTGCATTTTAAAACATATTTAGGTATTATAAATGATAAAAAATGCTAATATAGAAATAAACTCGATATTTTTTTGAAAAAAGCCTACTATGATCGATACCAAAAATGCTTTAAATTGCATTTTGAAACATGTCTAGGTATTATAAATGATAAAGAATGCTAATACTTATAAAATCGATATTTTTTGAAACTAGCCTCCTATGGTCAAAACCAAAAATGCTTTGAATTGAATTTAAAACATATCAAGGTATTATAAATGATAAAGAATGCTAATATTTATAAAATCGATATTTTTTTGAAAATAGCCTACTATGATCAAAACCAAAAAATTTTAAATTGCATTTTGAAACATGTCTAGGTATTTTAAATGATAAAGATTGCTAATATTTTTAAAATCGATATTTTTTGAAAATAGCCTACTATGATCAAAACCAAAAAACTTTAAATTGCATTTTGAAACATATCTAGGTATTATAAATGATAAAGAATGC